CGCGGGAGGCCCTGGGCGGAGGGCGGGGGTCGCTGCTGCCTGCTGCGTCCTCAGCACCCCACCCCCCAAGGGACGGTTAGCCCAGCACCTGGTCCGGATGCCTTAAGGGGGCACCATCGGCCCTTGGGGCCAGCGAGGGGCTTCCCGGAGCCCGTCCTGGTCCTTTCCCCTGGGGCCCTATGCTCTCCACCGCTGGACTGGGGGACAGCTGCCTGCGGGAGGGTGGGGGAGGGGAGCAGGACTGGGCCCACGGGGCCCCTGGGTCTCGAGAGAAAGGAGCTGCCCAGCAAGGGTGTTACTCTATTGTTATACCAAACAGGGCACTGGAGCAAACGCTTGTTAAAATGCCAGTCCCGTGGGCGGGGCTGGCACCGTGCCCCCTCCCTCCTCAGCAGACTCCGGAGCCGGCCTACCCCACCTCTCCAGCGTTCCCACCACTCTCTTGTCTCCTGGGTCTCGAGAGAAAGGAGCTGCCCAGCAAGGGTGTTACTCTATTGTTATACCAAACAGGGCACTGGAGCAAACGCTTGTTAAAATGCCAGTCCCGTGGGCGGGGCTGGCACCGTGCCCCCTCCCTCCTCAGCAGACTCCGGAGCCGGCCTACCCCACCTCTCCAGCGTTCCCACCACTCTCTTGTCCGTTTGCTTCCAGGGTCGTGTATCAGGATGGATTTTATGGTGCTGAGATTTATGTAAGTGCGCCCTGGGGAGGGGAGGGTGGGCCGGCCCTTCTGTGTGTCCGCCTCCCCCAGCCTCCCTCCCATTCCTGGGACCGAGGGGAGGGTCCCACTCAGCAGAGAAGGGCATCCCTGGGGAGCCTGGCCCAGCCCAGGTTTGCCCTGCTCACTAGGGAGCTGCTAATAGACCTGCAGTGGCCCGGCCCTAAAGCTGAAGGCCACTTGTCCATTTGTCAGACGCTGTCCAAGGGAGGCAGTGGGGTCACTGAGTGAACCCCTAGGAACACTTTTGTCCAGCACAAGAGAGAGACCAGGAGGCAGGGCCTCAGGCTGCCTGGATGGGGTCCTGTGGCTTTTCTCTCCCTTCATGGGGCTGCACCCACTGCTTCCTCTGGCCCAGAGCCCTCTACGACAACCCCATCCAGGATGCCCGACTGCACCCTGGTCCTGGGCAGTCTATAAACCATCACTTGCTCATCTGAGCCAGGGCATTCTGGGGTCCTTTGCCCTTGACCCTTCCCAGGGTCCAGGATCGCATCCAGGCCTCAGGGATTCCCCGTGCCTGTCAGAATCCAGCCCAGGAATTGCTGGGCTGTTGGCAGGTCTGTGGGAACCTACTTTTTGCCAAGGGCCAGCAACCACCCAGAGATATAATCGATACCCATTAGTGTGTGCTGAATGCACAAATGGGTGAGAACGAATGAACGGCCCTGCCTGGTCTCCACCCAAGCCACTGAGTCCTCAGACCTCCCCTAGACCAGCAGCCAGGTACCCAGGTCAGGTACCACCCAACTTCACCAGGCCGAGGTGAAGGAGGAAGGTGGGGGACTGGGAAGGTCACAGTCCCTCCCCAGTGCCCAGCCCCGCAGTCTGTGTCTGCCCCAGGTCCCTGGGCGAGCCCCACTGAGTCCATGTGCCATCTCTTCCTCCCACCTATCCTGCAGGGAGGCTATGCAGCCTACAGATATACTCAGCCAGCAGCAGCGGCAGCAGCAGCGGCAGCCTACAGTGACAGGTGAGGCTCAGGGCAGCCAGCTGTTCTGGGAGAAGATAGCCCAGGGCCCCCCCGGGCTGGGTCCAGATGGACAGCAAGTCTTACCCCCTCTTCAGGGCCTGCCTATACCTCTGCCAGTGGGGCAGGGCCTGGATGAGAAAGCGATTTCAGATGTGACCAGCAAGCCCCCGACTTCAGTCACTTCCTGCTTATAAGTCTGAGGGGGCCAGGGGAGCCCCATTTTCTGACAGCAGAGATCGCTGCCCCCCAACCCTGGGGTCTGACACCCCAGCTCTCGAGGCCCTAAGTGAGGGGTTATCAGGAGCCTCCCGTGGTATGGGTATTGTGTGCCATCTCTTCCAGTTCCATGCAGGCCCAGGAAAAATGGCCCTGGACAGCTTGCTTTAATTAAGGGGTTAGGAAGCTCAAGTGCACTCCGATGGAGTAGCTGAGCCTAGCACCTCATTGTTCCTGCTTGGGCACTGCAGCCGGCTGGCTGTGCCTCTCGTCCACATGCCCATCTAGCCTGGGCTCCCCAGGCCATCCCAGCAACGGTGGTCTGTACCCTCCTTCTGGCCTTTTTCGTGGCACACAAGCTTCAGGGTCCAGCCCTATCCTCCAAGAAGCTGATCTGTCACTGCACAGATTGACGGAGAGGAAGGTCATCTGGGAACGCTGTGCCAACGTTCCTGGTCCCTATTTCTTGGGTCTTTTTCTCAACTTTTGTCCCTCCTCTTGCTGGGCATGGAGTCTGATTTTCCTCCAGACCTGCTCACCAAGGACTCCTTTCCTTCCAAGTAGCAGTGAGTAGGGTGTGTGGCCAATCATCAAGGCCTGCACACACTGGATGCAAGGAGAGGCCTTGAGGCCACAGGAACTTCCTTCCAGACAGGAAGGATGGACTGCGAGGAGGGCCTCATGGGAGAGGGAGGGGCTTTGTGGCTCAGACTGTAGGAAAGGGGGCCTGAAGGGAGGTGAGAGGCCTATCACTCGTCCCCTGCCTGCCCTACCACACCCTGTGCTTGCCCTGCTCTTTCCCTAGTTATGGCAGAGTCTACGCAGCTGCTGACCCCTACCATCACACCATTGGCCCTGCAGCGACCTATAGCATTGGAACCATGGTAAGGAGGCTGGGCTCCTCTGGCCCTGGGTGCCAGTGATGCTGGGGGTGGTATCTTACCACGGGTTGCTGGGGCAGGCCCTTAGGAGAGGCCAAGACCTCCAGCCACCACCTCTTTTGGCGATTCTTGAAGAACCAAAGCATGGGGTCTAGGCTTGAGTTGGGAGGTGAGGGCTTGCCCCTTTCAGGGGAGGTGGGCCTGACCAGGTGGACAGCCCCCCTGGGAATTTCCTCAGCCCTGATCAGACCCCTCTGTCCCCAGCAGAGGATCCAAGAGCCATGGTGACAGCCTTAGTCTCCCCTCCGTGGGCTGTAGAAGCCATGCCCCCCACTGGCCATTTCTCACATGGAGAGGGGACAAGGGCCACCCACTGCTCCTCACCACGCCCCCCTTCCAGACTCCTGCAGGGCTCTGCAGCTCCCAGTGGCCTTGGCGGGGTGGCATGTCTGTGTGTGTGTGTGTGTGTGTTTGGCCAGCTGTGGACACATACAGCCCCACCCACTCTGCAACACCCGATCTGCTCCTGTGCACACCCCCTTGCACCCACCCCACTCTGGAGGTGTTAATGTCTGTTTTTAGCTAGCTTGGCATCCGGCATCAAAGATGAAAACACTCTTTGGGGAGTCAGGAGGGAGGAGTACAGACAACGTGGATCTTTTTTTTCCACCTCTCTTGGTCTTGATTATTCCCTCCCAATTTGTGTCTTGGCAGATTCTGAGCAAGCCTCAGGCAGCCTAGGAGAGGTTTGGGCAGCCACGGCGTGTAGGCTCCAAGGGCCCAATGCCCAGGCTCACAAGCCTGGAGACCCCTCATCAGCTTGGCCCTTAGTGTAGCTGCTCGCTAAAAGCTTTCATTAATTTATAAGGGTCCTCTCTCAGGTTTTCTTTTTTCTATTTTTAAGATTTTCTATTTTTCTCCCAACTTTTCTTCTCTGGCATTGCCATTTTCTTCCTTTTACTGACAGAACCGGTGAGTGGATGGGAGGCCCCTGTCCAGGAGCCACCCTGGGGCATGAAAGGGCAGGACACAGAGCTGAGCCCGGGAAGAAAGCTCCAGGATGGGCAAGCCCAGGTGCCCCCAGAGAGAGCCCTCGGGGCTGTGCTCAGCAAGTGTGCCCTTCAGGGTAGAGCTGGCTACAGTGGCCCACACAGGGCCCCCTGCAGGGCACGAGGAAGTGAGGCTTGCGCTAGGACCTCGGGCACCTGAGAACAAATGGGGCATGACAGGCTAGCCCAGAGCAGTGGCCCAAGGGTACTCAGAAGACCCTGGAGCACCCCTCCTGGCCGAGACCACAGTCACATAGGAGTGAGGCCCCTGTGCCCCCCCCCGTTGCCATGACAACCTGAGGTCCACTCTTCCCACGGAAACTATAAGGGGAAAAGAAAATGGGATTTAGCTATTTCTCTTTTTGTTTTTCCTTATTTTTTTTTCCCTTTTGACTTTTTCCTCCCTACCAAAAGATGGTACTGATTGGCTGTTTTTCATCTTTGATGTTGCAGGCTAGCCTCTGCCGAGGAGGGTACAGCCGCTTCACCCCCTACTAGCAAGAGACCCGCCCCTAACAGCATTCACACCACTGCCTATTCCAAACCAAACCCTACAGCCCCAACACCAGGCACAGCCACCAGGAGGACAGTGCACCCCTCCCGGTCAACAACATGCACCGCTGACCCTCTGCAACTCTAAAATCCATAGATTTTTACTTCCAGCCAGCTGCTCTCCCCACCCCGCCCATGACGGTGTGTGTGTCTTTGACCCTGGTTTTTCCTGTATTGTATGTCTGAACCGTGGTTTCTTATCTTGCCTTTGTTGATGTTGTACTACCCAAGCCGTTTCAGGTACGGTATGCACAGAGTAGGGGCCAGGCTGGAGAGCTGGCAGCCCTACCCTCCCCCAGGCTAGCATTGGCACCCTAGGATGACACCCTTGTCTCCTGGTGGCCCCAGCTGCACAGAACTCTAGGAACTCTGACTGGGCCTCCCAAGTGGCCTCGTTCCCCTAGTGTTCAGTAATGCAGGGAATAAGGGGCTTGGGCCCCTGACCAGTGGGTTTCCCCAGCCCCAATGGGACTCCTGTCCACCTACTTCTGGTAATCATAGGAGTAGCCGTCTCCACCCCGTTCAGCTGAAGCTAATATTTCTAATTAAATGTATTGATGACCTTTCCTGCCAAAGTAGTCACGGCACATCGCTCAGTGTGCAGACTGCCACAGTCACACCAGTCCTGGGGTCTCCTTAGTGCTGCTTCGAGAAGTGGACATGAGGAAGGAAATTGCCACCCCACCCCGCCCAGCACAAAGGTCCTCCCTGCACCTGGTACCCAAGGCACAGCCTGGGCCGCCAGTCCATAGGTGACACCTCAATACTAGGTGTGGCTGTGCTTTAGCTGCAGCGCTGCCCCACCTTCCCCAGGCAACAACACGCCTCTACCAGGCTCCACTTCAGAAGGGGGCATCCTTACCAACACGGTGATGCCCTCCCACAGCCACTCCAGCCTTAGACCGTGTGCCTGGGGGACACGCCCAGGCCCCTGCAGAGAGCCCCGGAGGAGATGCAGGCTGGGACTTGGTCAGGCCTAGAGCCCAGGGAGCTGGGCAGTCCACTGAAACAGGTGAGGGCTGGTGCACACAGGAAAGAGCCCAGTCTGTGGACCGCAAGGTGGACCAAGGTGGGGTCCCGCAGGGACGATGTGCAGAGGGGTGTCCTACTCCCTCTCCTCACACCATGCCTCTGCCCCATCCTGTTGGGCTGGCCAGGCCTGGCCTGGCCTCACCTGTGCCATCAGAGCACACGTGGCTCCTGCCAGCCAGATTCTCACTGGTTCTGGAACCCTCGGCCCCATCCTGGCCCTCTCCGTACACCTACCTTCGCTGCTACCCAGGCCAGGAAGTGTGTCTGCTCTGGGTTCAGCTTGCAGGGGAGAGTGGGTCCCCAAAGCTGAGGGCAGATTGAGGGGTTGTAGGCCCAGGTCATGGGCTGCTGCAGAGAAACTGCAAGTCCTGCCTTTCTGTTTCTGTTGTAGTGAAACCTTCCACCGTTTCCTTCTTGGACCATGAAGGGAAAAAAACAAAAAAACAAAAAAAATCACAAAACAAAAAAACACAACAAAAAAAAGATGTTAAGATCGAAGCAACAAAAAAAAAAACCAACCAAACCAAGAGGCATCCAACCAAGTCCAAGTCCGCGTCTGGCGCACACCCGCACCGAGGGAGCACGTCCCGCCGGGCACGTGGGAAGCGGCCCTGCCTGGCTGGCCGCCCAGTGGGAGAGTTGGAGGGAAGGGGCCGGATGTGTGGCCAGCAGGGGCTCCGTTTTCTATCCAGTCTTCCTTTCAGGCCTCAGAGGTGGAGCAGGCCTGGCCCAGGGAGGAGCAACCCACAGGCTGGCTGTGCCTGGAGGGGCTGAGGGCAGGGAGGGGCACCAACCGCCTTAGGCTCCTCAGTACCCCTGCGCCCTTGGCTGTCTGTCTAAGCAGCTGCCCTGGGGTCCAACTCCAGTGCAAAGGGCTGATGTGGCCCCAGAACTGGGGTGCCTGTGCCTGCTCCCCGCAAGTGAGAGGGCTGCCAGCTGCAGGGCACAGCAAAGGGGGCCCAGCTGGCCAGGAGCCGCCCCAAGTGGCATGAGCGTGGGCAGAGGCCCAGAAGCAGAGGACTTGCACATAGCGGCCATCTCCGTTCCTGGAGGAGGCTGACCTCATGCTACCTGCCGGGACCTGGCCTGCACCACGCCTTCCCTGATGGGGAGCACAGAGGCACAGGGATGGCCAGCTTGACTGCACTTCCAAGGTGGGGGTCACAGCAGTGCTACGGGCCTGGGCGGTGCCAGCCAGCACAGATCTGCAGGCAGAGCAAGGGGTGAGGAGGCCGAGCTGGCCCTGCTCCCTGGGCAGGTATGGAAGTGGTCAGAGTCAAGAGCAGCACAGGCCCTGGGCAGGCGGCGGGCAGAGGGAGGGATGGCAGGTGGCAGGCAAGAGCTCCCGATGAGGCAGGGGTAGCTGGAGTAGGGAAGCAGCAAAAAAGGGACAAAAACGGGCTCCTGACATGGCTCCAGTCTCATGAAAACTTCAAAAATAAAAAATACACCTCACTTTCTATTCAGCATCAGCTGCTGACGCTCTGGAAATGAATCCTCCTTTTCTATTCCTGTTGTACATAGCCCCGCGCCTGCCTCAGGCTCCGTCCTCTGCAGGGCCCCGTGCCCTCTGCTGTTTCGGACCCTTTTCTTGCAGCAGCTCGGAACCCCCTCGCCCCGGGCCCCCATCCCCAGGACTGCAGCCGAGCCCCAGGCTTCCTTTCTTACCATCCTGTATGCTTCCAAGGTGTGACCATTCAAATTAACAGTATTATTATTAAGATTATTAATAAAGATTTCTTTCTTCAAGCCAGGACAGCTCTTTCTGATTTGGCAGCTCCGGGCACTGAGGGTAGAGGGCACAAGACCAGGCTTGTGGCCTAGTGCAGGACAGGCACCGGGCGGCAACGAGGAAGAGGAAGACCCTGTGGGCAAGACTTTAGAGTCCCAACCTCCTCTCCAGACTGGCCGCCTGGCTGGCTGCCTCTGCCAAGTGGCAGCTGGGTGCAGAACCTCTCCTGGGCAGGGAAACCCCACCGCTGAGGTGGTCCCTAGTGTAGGCTGGTGGGAGGGGGAGGCTGCTGCAGAGGCATCTGCAGCTGGTGCCCCTGGTGCCCAGGCAGCCCTCAGTTCCCTGGCACATTGGCCAGAGAAGCAGCTGCAGTACTTCAAGGAAAATGCATGCTTTTAGCCCCTGCTCCTGGGGACAGGAGGGTGGACAGAGAACAAGCAAAGAGCTTAAGAGCTGGGCTGGGGCAGGGAGCCAGAGTTCACCCACACTGACGTTCTCATTTCTCACCACGTCGGATAATCTATTTCAGAGCAGCTACACCCACCAGAGGGGCACAGCTCAAACGCCAGCTGATTAATTTTCCTGCATGGGATAAAGCCTGTGCTGTCGGCCGGGCTGTGCTCTGGGTGGGAGGGGGGTGGCATGGCGTGGCTCTGCCCAACACCATGCTCCGCTGCACCCTTTTATTTCTAATTGCTTGCTCACCAGACTGTGAGGAAATAATTGCCATTATAAATTTTCCTTAGGGCTGAGGATTTAGCTCAGTGGTTCCACCGCCTGCCTTGCAAGCAGAGCCTAAATTCGATCTCTGGTACCCCCCAAAACAATTTTTTTTCCTTCATTCTCCACATAAAATATTTCAAGAAACAGACCTCAGGAAACGGAAGCAGGCAATAGTGGCTCTCTGCCCAATATTGAGGTGCTGGGGCTGGGAGACCAGGTAAGCAGCCGCCCTGCCCCACCTGCCCTGCCACCTGCCCCACCTCCTCTGGGGACACAAGGTACAAGGCCAGGAAGCACCCCCCCTCAGCCAGTCCCCCTACTTCCGGATGGAAGACAGACTCAGCACCGCAGGACACTGTCAGAATGGAACCACGGCAGAGAAAGTGGAGTAGCCGTGAGCACAGCAGATGTCGCCCTGTCCCCAGCTTAGGAAAAGCCCAGGGCCGGTAGCCTGAGTTTTAGAGCAGTCAGCAGGATCATGGCCCTGCCCTGCACAAGGGGTGCTTGTTGTCAACCTAAGACATGAAAAGGTTCCCAATCAGGGAGGGGTGCAGAACCCAGCCCCAGGGTCTGCCCTGTTCCACCCAAGAGGCAGAAGCCCTTGGAGGGCAGGAGGTGGGAGCGGGCAGCACTCGGGCCCCACAGGAGACCTCTGCCCTCCAGAATGGGTGTTCTGTGCACTAAGCAGGACCAGCCCATCCGTCCCCTCCCTCAGAGGACAGAAAAGGGATGCCACAGCCCTACCTTCCTACAGGGCAAAGTCCACAGGTCCCAGCTCCTCTGTGTGACCTCCAGCTGGTGTCACAGTGTCCCAGACCTCTGCACCACACCCACAGCACAGGACAGGACAGGACAGGAGGGCTGGACAAGTACGTCCCACCATTGACTATGTGGCCCAGGATGAAACACACCTGATGACCTTTGCCCCGTGCAGGATGTGACAGACCCTGTGTGGCACCTGAAGGGAGAGCAGGGAAAAATGAAGCCACATTACTCCTGGCCCAGAGATGTGGCAGGAAGCTTTCCCTGCCCAACATTGTCAAGGGGGCCTGCAGGGGCTGCAGAAGTGGGCACAGAAGGAGGGCATGAGAGGGGCAGGTGCCCATCCTGGCACCCTCCCACCTTGGCACACGTGAAGCCTGTGAGCCTAGGGCTGAGGAGCTGCAGCAGAGGCAGGGGACGTCAGCTATGGGGACAGCGAGATGCCCTGGCCAGCAAACCCTGGAGGTGGCCCATGCTCAGGCTGGGGTATGATGTGGTGCCAGCCTGGCCCTGAGCTCCAGAGCACCATCTCCTGCCACTCTGGGGCCCCTCCTTTCCACCCCTCCCCTCAGGCTGCTGCATCCCAGTCTGTGGAGATCCTCTGATGGCCCCCAGCCCTGCTCCAAAGCTGCCTGCCATGATTTACATTCATTTCTGGCATTTTTTTTCCCTGTACCAAGAATCGAACTCAAGACCTTGTGCTTGCCAGGCAGACGCAGCACCACTGAGCCGCATCCCGGCCCTACAGTCATTTCTAGTTGTGTAATCTACAGGAATCAAAGGTCACTCTTCTCAGCATCAACACCTTTCAACCTATTTGAGAATATCCTTTATGGAGTTTTCTGGACAAAACCTCCCACATCCTTTCCCTTTCCCTTGTACGCACACTGTGTTGAGGGTTACATGCAAACGCGAGGCCAGGTGCTCCTCGGCAAGCTGGCTTCCTGTGACCAATGCCCCCCCAGCCACCACCGCATCCTGGGTCCCAGCCCTTGGGACCCCTGGCCTTACTCAGCAGGGTCCCAGAGGATCCTTGACAGCCAGCAAGGGGCAAGGTGAGTCAAGCGAGGCAGTGTCGGCTCACAGAGGCATGGAGTAGAGTAGGGCTGCCCTGCCCCACTCGGCCTGAGGGACCCGGAAGCCCTCTCTGGGGACGGGCTCCACCAGGAACTCCACACGGCCCTCCTGGCTGGGCCCAGCAGCCTCTACCACCAAGTCCACCACGCGGTACTGGTTGACAAAAGCCAGGCCCAGGAATGCGGGCTCTGGCCCCAGCGGCTCCCTGCCTCTCGCCCCCTCCCAGCAGTGGACTCTGAAGCAGCGGGCTTGGAGGACGAGGTAGGACCAGTGCAGGGTACAGCTGAGTCTCAGCCGGCCCTGGGGACCCTCTACCGCAGAGGTGGGCCGCTGCCAGCGGACCTGTGAGACGGTGACATTCTGTACCTGAGGCAGGGGGGCCAGCAGGCTGTTGGCATCCACCACCTGGCAGGAGAGAAGGCTCGGACAGCTGACACTGGGGAGGCTGAGCGCCCACCGGCACCCACTGCTCCAGCTCCTCCAGGACCCGCCGCCCGCTCTGCTCCGGCAGGAGGTGTCACCCCTCCCGGATGCACACCTGGATCTCTCCCAGGCGACAGATGAAGGTCTCCTCCTCCTGGCTGCCTGGTGGCCGAGACAAGTTCACAAAGAGGTCCCGCAGGAGGCACCCATGCAGGTTCACCTCGTAGCACCTGGGAGAGGCACACAGCTGATCACAGCCGGCCCAGCTCAACAGCATCCAGGCCAGCTGTGCAGTGGTTCCAGCACAGTGGAGGGAGGACGCCCCAGTGTACTCCGGGATGCGGGGACCGTAGGGACCACAGTGACCTTGAGTGCTGTCAGGAAGTGTCCTGGGCTGTGGCAGTGCCACCCCAAACCCAGAGAGTCAGCCCAGGCATCTCCATTCCTCCAGTCCTAGGGACTCTCACAGGGAACCCTGCCTGCTCAAGTTCCCCAAGTATGGCTGCTCCTCCTGGGCTTGGCAGGAAGTAGAGGGACTCACCGCTGGATCCAGCCCCCGTTGAGCTGCTGGCCACAGCGGCCGGCCCATCTGGCCAGTTTGGTGGGGGGCACCCGGAGGGGGTGGGGTCTATGCCTTGAACCCGTTTCTGCTGGAGGGGGAGACAAGGGCTTGAGGAAAGAGAATCTCAAAGGAAAATGTGGGAGCCGGGCACGCTGTAATCCCAGCACTTGGGAGGCTAAGGAAGGAGGATCACTGTGACTTTGAGACCAGCCTGGGCTACATAGTGAGACCCTGTCTCAAAAAACCAAAAAAAAAAAAAAAGAAAAGAAAATGTGGGGATGGGGCAGAGGAAGTGGAATGTACCCTCAGCAGAAAAATTCCAGGGCCCAGATCAGACTGTGGAGCGGAGGGTCTGGGACTACCAGAGAGGGATTGGAGTAGAATAAATGAGTCCCCGCCTGGGTTGGCCAAGCTCACTCACCCTGGCTCTTCCCCACTTGTCCTCTCCCCTCCCCTGGCTAACCTCTGAAATGCCCTAGCCAGCAGGAAATCCATATTCTACCCACCTAGGAGACCGCCAATGCCCAATAGGGCCACAGGGCAGAGGTTCTGGCCCTGAAATGAGTCCATGCGTCCAAGCCTGGACCACAGGCTGCCGCAGCTCCCACCAAGGCAGGATGTACCCAATACCAGCTCCTCCCCTGCCGCCTGGGCCTGTCTAGACTTTCCTTCCTCGAGGGTCCCCAGCAGCCAGCGCCTCACCATTCATCACGGAGATGCTGCCGACGTGACAACTGTCGGCATCCCCTGTAGTGAGTTCCAAAGCAACTGTGACATCTGTGGACCCCTCAAGCTTATACACCAAGGACAGGAAGATTTTGTGCGGTGCCGGGACCTGCAGGGAAAACAACCTGGAGGAGAAAGACCTTGTGAGAGGCCGTGGGTACTCTGCACAGACACTGGCACTTGCTCTCAATTGCGTGGGCCAGCCCCAGTCTGCCAGGGACAGGGAGCCCAGCAGGGCAGGGCGGCCAGGTTCTCCTGCAGGCCGGGGGTGAAGTTCTGGCACACTTCCCAATGTCCCTCACATGAGCTGTCTTGGGCAGTCACACTCAGAGGCAGAAAGAACGGTGCTTCTGGGGCCAACGACGGTGGTCGTTTTCATTCTGAAAACGACAAAGCTCTAGAGATCTCCTGCATGACCCTGCATACAGCTGGTACCGCTGTCTGGACACCTGAGAACGGTTCTGACCATTTCCCATCATGTGTTTTTTACCATTTTTTTTACACCAATCTGGGTCCTGTCCTCTGCGGCCACACTGCCCGGCTTTGGGACCGACCCGGGGTGAGAAGCTGGCGGCCCATGCCCACCCCCTCACTCACCCACCTCACAGCCACGCTGCCGACCTCAGGCGGGATCACCCCCTGCAGAAGCAGTGAGCTGCCCCCGTGCCAGGAGTCTGCCAGGCAGCAGTGCACCTTCACCCAGCCCTGGCCGTCACCGGGCAGCTTGTGTTCACCAAACAGAGGCTGCGTCTCCTGGGCACTCGGGTGGTACCAAGGCCCCACAGCCTGCTCCTGCGGGAGGGGGAGGACCAGACAGTTGCAGGAAGGCTGCCTTTGCAGAGGCAGGCACAGCAGGTGTGCCGGGGAGGGGACAGAAAAGGCCACTGGCCCGCCTGCTTGGACCCTCAGGCTCCCTCTCACCCACCCGGCCGGCTGAGGCCATGACTGACAGGAGGAAGGGCTCCTTCCCCACCCTGGGCACCCTCACGGTGGTCTGCACACCTGTCCGTAGCAGACTCTTCGTGTCCCCATGCCCAGGCAGAAGGACGTGACGAAGGGCAGGGAGCAGATGCTGTGTGTGGGCAGATAACGCTCCAGCAGCTTCCAGAACCTGCCAGAGACACAGGCAGGCCTTTCTCACCCATGGCTGTGACTGGAGCTTCTCCCTCATCCCCAAGACAGGCCTTCCAGGGGGACTGCAGCTCCCCACCCACCGTCAGCCCCCACACTCCGCCCCCCCATCCTCAGCCTCGTAGCCACTGCACGCAACAAGACTCACCTGTCCTGGTTGTGGAAGAAGCTGCTCTTTTCCAGACACTCGTACACCCAGCCGGGGGCAAAGAGAGCTACGGAGAAGCCATGCTTTCGGATCAGTTCCAGAGACTGGGGGACAGAAGTTAGGGAGACGCTGGCATCAGCCACACTGGGACCCCAGCGTCCAGCAGGCCCCATGAACAGCACATTGCCGGGTCACAGGGGCCAGGCCTCTCGGGCCGGATCAGCAGCAGCTGTCCACACCCATCCAGTCCACTTAAGCTTTATCCCCCTCATCCTGCAAACCGGAAAGTGGTGGGCACTAGAGAGGTAGCAGGAGGAAGGCCCAGAGGGCACAGGCCTGGGACACCATCCACAGTGCTGGCTCTGGACTTCCTCTCTCCCTTGATCATATACCGCTCAGAGGAGAAGAGATTTTCCAGCTATTGGATTAATTTATTACTTAAAGCTTACTGGGCCAGGCATGGTGCTACACACCAGCACTCTGGTGGTAATCCCAGCACTCTGGGAGGCTGAGGCAGAAGGATCTCAAATTCAAGCCCAGTTTGGGCAAATAAGCGACTTTGTGAGACTCTGTCTCAAAAAGGGAAGGGAGTGCTGGTAATGCAGCTCAGTGCCAAGGCCCTGGTTTAATCTCTAGGACCAAAAAGCTTATTTAAAAAAAAAAACCTAGCAACTAAGCACATCCCTGCTGCCTAGAAAGGGGCAGCACTGACAGGTGGGAGACAAGTGCCTGCTCTCCCCATGGAGGTGTGCTGCCTGATTCCCTCCTTCCTCACTGCTGATGCCACTCGCCTCGCCCAGAAAACTCACTTGCCGCTACGTGAGCAGGTCCCCCACCGCGGTGCTTCACCTCCACCTCTGGCCCTAGCCTGCCATGAGAGGCAGTGCAGCCCCTGTGGGCTCGGCATCTACCTGGTGGGCAGCAGGTAAGTTCAGGTCTCTTCAAGGCCCACAGTCCAAAAAGGAAGTCAGAGCAAAAGACAAGACCAGCATGGGAGCAGGACGCTTCTGCCCACTAACACCCGGACAACATCTCACTCAATGATGCCTGCCTGCAATCTCAGAACTCTGGGAGGCTGAGGCAGGGGGACTGCAAGTTTAAACCCAGCCTGGGCAACTTAATGCCCTCTGGCACAAGGGGGGCACCCACCTTGTCTGTGTCAAACTGGCCTCCGACCACGTTCCCCCGAGCGAACACGTCCACACCCACGTACACATCGACCAGGCGCTCCCTGGCCTGGCCCAGCATCCGCTCCAGGTGCTCCTCCCGCCAGTTATAGTTGGTAAAGAAGCCATCACATGAGTCAAAGAAGATCCTGAGAGGTGACAGGAAGCTATTGAGGCCCAGGCCTGGGGGCAGCAGGGAGCCCTTCCAGAATCGCTGTTCTCACAGCTCATGGCCCCGGCTAGAGTCTGCTCCCCAGAGCAGGGCCCAGCATGAGTGGTCACCTGCAGTCTCTGCACCGAACCAGGGAGACCAGGCACTGACCAGCCTCCTAACGCCTGGGACAGCAGAGGGCACCAGAGGCTCCCCGCTTCTACGGGAAGCAGGCTGGCCCGGGCTGCCTTCCATCCCCCGAGACTCACCGATTGTGCTCGTTGAGTTCATCCTGCCACTTGAGCTGCCCGCTCTGTACCACACTGTCATACCAGAGCACCAGCCCCGCCGGGACGTGCTGGTGGAGCTGAGCAGTCAGATACCTCAGGAAAGCAGGCGTGTTCTGCACAGCGGCCACCTGGGAGAGAGGAACGGAGATCAGACCTCTGGCGAGGTGAGACCCATCTGTCATGAGAAGCAGCCAGCACAGGACACACAGGACCACACAGAGACCCTGGTCCCCAGCACCCCAAACCCGACAGCCACCGAGATGTATGGCTTGCGTCTGCGTTGAACAAGAACTCAGGAAAAGCTACGATGCAATGGAAGGGCAGGGTGACCGTGGAGAGGAAGCAGAGAGGAGGAAGAGGAAAGATGTGGTTATGCTGAAGCAGCAGCGAAGCCGAGCTCAGTGGGGAAGGCTCGCCTCAATGCCAGGTCACCCAGAGGCCAGAGCCGGCTCTGCCTGGAAGCCAGCAGTGTGCTGCTGTGATCTGGGCCAAGCGAACAGAGAGGGCAGGCAAAACAAGGGCTGCGCGAGGGCGGGTGCCAGGACGGAGGCCACACTCACACTCAAGGAGTTCTCGATGTTGATCAGCCAGCCATCGAAACGAAAAAACTGCGCGATCTGGACCAGCTGATCAGCCACTGCCTGGTAGGAGCGCGGATCCCCAGCCAGGAAGGCTTCGCAGAGCTTTCCCCCATCGTTCCACTCGGTGATGAAGGTTCCTGTGAGACAGAGGGGCCTGAGGTCAGAAGCGTGGCTGGCTCTGCCTCTGGATGGGCAGCATCAGTGCCACCAGAAAGCTTGTGACACATTCAGACCCTCGCCCTGCCCCCCAGACACCCTGTGACTCAGACACCCTGGATGGGGCCGAGCAGTGGGGTCACAGAGGCCCACAAATGGTCCGGACTCAGGCCAGACCTGGAGAGGCACTGTTCTTACACAGCCAGAGGCCAGCAGACCCAGCCACCTTGCATGTGTGACTTTGTTGGGAGACAGCCTGGCCCTCACTGACCCGTCGTCCATGCTTGCTTTCCTGCTGGTCATTACCTTAGTGACCAACGGCCCACAACACCGAAAATCTCTCTTTTCAGGTCCTCTCCCGGCAGGGACCTGGCTCTTACCCAGCACGCAGACCCCATGCCTGTGGGCGACGTTGGTCCAGCCCACCGGGGGGATGGTGACCATGTGGTGGCTGAAGTACACGAAGACATCAATGTACTGCCAGTGGTAGAAGGAGTATGGGCTCTGTGCTGCTGAGCCCTGAATAAACCTGGGTGGGGAAGCAGAACAAGGTCAGGGCTACAGAAGACGGCAAGGACACAGCGACTGTGGGGTAGAGAGCAACCCTGAGGAGAGGCCCTTTGCTCTAGTGGTGCATTCTAACCATGCAAGTGCCATGTGCAGGCCCTGGGCAGGAGGCACAAGCTCCGGTTCTCGCCCCAGAGTGCCCAGGAGGGAACCGCTTTCACCACAGCAGCGGGCATCTGCATGCACTGAGCATTTTAGCCTCTGAGCAGATGAGCGAAAGAGGTGGTGGCAGACAGGCTCAGGTACCAGCCCCATGTCTCTAGCTTCCACTCTGTACAGGGAGGTCGGCGATGCTCCCGAAGCAGCCTCAGACACGGTGCAGTCTGTAAGGCCGGCTCACCCCAGGCTCATCCCCAGCCTGTCTGAGCCTTGGTAGCCAGCTCTGACTCAGCCTTCCTGTCAATCACCACATCCAAGGCTGTTTTATGGACATTTAGGACTCCAGGAGGATCCCAAGGTCAAACCCAGTTTGGGCAACTTAGCAAGATCCTGGCTCAAAATAAAATATTAAAAAAAGAGCTGGGGAATGCAGCTCAGTGCAAAGGTCTTGAGTTCAATCCACCATACTACCTAAAAAATAAAATTCCACTTTGGAGGGAACATGCAGAGTCTAATCACTCTGTACACCAGAGCCAGGGCCAGCAGATCTGGACCAGGACAGAGCTCAGAGAAACAGCCCCACACATACCCTCTCCAACCTACCAGACTCCAAGCTAGGATGCTGGAGCCGAGATAGAAGACCACCCAGGCCAGTGCTCTCCCCATGGGTGTAGCCAAACTAAGGCGGCGGCACAGCCTATCCAAGACTCCAGTCTCCTGACTGCCACCCAGAGCTCTGGGGACACCGCAACACTCTGCCTGTCTCCTCCCCGTCCCCAGGATGGCCAGGGACGAGATCAATGTCCTCACTTGTCTTCCAGGTATCCACCCATCATGTCATGGCACACCAGGGTCCGGGGCCTAGGGCTGCCCAGCGGGGGCTGGCGACACTCTAGGGGCTGCAGGGCCACGTTGAAGCTGTCCTCCGTGAGGGGAGTCCAGGCCAGCAGCTCCTCCAGTGAAGACAGGTAGAAGCTGACAGGTTCGGTGGTTTCCTTGTCATAATATCTAACTGGTCCGAGGAGGGAGACAGTGAGGAATTAGTGGAAATTAGGGGATTCACAGAAATGCCTTGACAATGATGACAGAACTGAGATTGGGTGGGGGGCCACCCTACCCAGAACCCCGAGAGTGGTCACGGAAGTGTTACTCAGAGCCTCCATCTTCTCACCTGGCAAAGGATCCGGACTAAAACTGACCACTTCTCGAAAGACTGCTTCTTCTGGCTCCTCTTTGGTCCTAAGCAAAGAGGATTTTTAAAAAAATTAAATAAAAGAGTGACAAATGCTTGGAAGCAAATGGCTAGGTGCCTGTAGACATGGCTCATATTATTTAACAGAGACTACAAAAGCAAGTACCCGAGAGAGGCTCTCAGGAAGGGGGCTCTTTCCTGTCACCTGCGTTAGCAGCCGGCCTCCCCAGCCCTCTGATGGATAAACTCCTTCCCCACCAACACAGCCAAATCACATGCCCCACACCACAGTCCACACGTCTTGCCCCCCGCTGAAGGACAAGGGCCAGTCAAAGCACTCACAAAGGTAAGGTCCTACAAGCAGGGGTCAGGCTTTCCCTCCCGTCCATGGTTTCCCACGTGGACACCACAAAACACTAACTCTTCAGTATTCACAGGTGGGTGATAAGGGGAAAGACTGCCCTTAGCACATTAAGCTGGGAAACCCTGAATAAGTCTGAATTAAACAGTGTTATTCGGAGGGCGGCAGAACTGAGGATTGTACCCAAGGCCTTCTCACTAAGCAACATTCCCAGACCTTTTCATTTTTTATTTTGTGACACAGTTTTTCTGTCACCAAAGCTTGTTTCAAGCTCTCAAGCCTCCTGCCTCAGTTTCCCAAACGGCTGGGATTACAGGCTTGCGCTGCCACACCTGGCTTTAAAAGAAATCCTTTTAAAAAAACAGCGAGAAGACACAGCTGGGGCCATTTAGGGGCCACAGAAACAAGCTGAAAGTCTCTTAAGTTCTCCAATACCTCAGGCTGCCCTCTGCCAACCGGGTACACCTGCCAGCACTCCGCGTGCACACAGAGGCCTGCTGCCTGCTGTCATGCATGGGGGGGACCCTAGAAACGGCGGGGGTAAGGGTGGGGGTGGGAGGTAGGACAGACAAGTGGAACTGCTGCAGAAATGCTCCTTTGCTTTCTCCCCCTCCTCTTCCTGAACCTCCTTCCTAGTTGAATTCTTCACTCTTCTTTTTGTTGCCCCCCCAAAAGATTTCGCGGACAGATCTGACCTACAGTGGTCCACCTGTGCTGCCATCTGTTCCTCCAGGGGGTGGGAAAGGGGCCAACCCAACATTCTTCCTATCCAGAAACACCAGTCCCACCAGCCATGCCCCCAGGCTCGCTGCTTTAGGTTTAGGGACAACCTAGGAGGCCATCTCTGTGCGCCCAACTTCCCCCCAGCAGCCTGGCAAGCGCAAACGCCCCGAAGGGAACAAGGCCTGGGTCCAAGGGCATGTCCATCCCTCTCTGCCTCGGGGCTTGCGCCCGTCCCGCTCCTCCTAACTGGATACCACCCCTCTCTCCCCCTGCTGAAGTCCCTTCCTCCCCAGCGGCTCCGGTCAGATGTCCCCCTCTGGAAAGCCACCCCTCCCTCTACCAGCCGCCAAATGCCTCGCTGCGAGCTGGCGAATACGGTGGCCACGGAGATCCTGGCCCTCGGGCTCGCAACCCACTTCGGAGGAGGGGAGAATCCCGCTGCCGGCTCGCCCCGTGGTCTGACGCGCTGGGTCGTGGGGAGCCAAGTGCTGCCCCGCG